TTAGGTATCTCCATCTATGTGGTTGAGAGTGAGGGAGGGCTCACAGATATATCTACCAGATCATAGTTCACAAGTTATTTCCCTTTTTGTCTTTTTTCATATATATTCTATTGTCGTAAGAACCATTCTCGTTGCCTGGAGTAGTTCAGAATTGCTTTGCCTAAATAGCCAAAAAAAAAAATTTAATGCAAGTAGTATTAAGTTGTCAAGTCTCCCATGTCCTTAGATAAGATAGTAGTTGTTACTCCCAAAATCCATGCAATAATTGTTGTGTAAAACTTTAATCTGTGAGCTACAGAAGACTCTATTAAGGAAATTGATGAACTCAGAGCTATTTTTCTGTAACAAATAAACATGCTATGGATTTTGCATTTCCTTGAACAAATAGTTTCATTATGCATATTTATTAAACTCATGCACCAGGTGTCTGGTCAATGTTTACATATTGCACAGAAACTTAGGTGTCAAGGATGTAGTCTCTTTACTCTCTAGTATTACTTCTGTTGTTGCTATTTCATTTAGGTAAGAAAAGCCGGAAAGCAGCAAGCCAACCTGCTCCCAGCATGCCAGCGAGAGGGAAGCTATCTTCCAATAAAAGCACTGTCACAACCCTCATCTACCTTGGCAAAGGAACTATGGAGATGATGCTCACTGACAGCATAGAGACATTATGTTGATGCAGAATTTTGAACTTAGCGAGCTGTATGATTTCCGGCAATTAAAAGACAAGATGTTTTGGGGGATTGAGACAATGATCCAATGGCATCTCTAACCCTGTGAAAGACTGAAACTGTTGAAAAAAGTTTGTACATGGATCTGCATGCGTACCTCTCTCTCTCTCTCTCTCTCTCTTATAACATTTATAAAAGCCTGTTCACTTCATGAAAAGCCACAAAGAAAGCAAGAGAAAAACGTTTCCAGGGTTTGATCGTTTTTCTGGTTGAAAAGGTATCAGCGTTTCACCGTCTTCCTCATCGATTCCAATTGAGACCCTAACCTACTTATTATATGTAATGTCTGGGATATTCACGTAAATCAAATTGGACGAGATTTGAAGTATAATACAACCATGCCTGACATATATGAGATGTTAAATTCAAACGGGACAAGACTCTGAATTAAACCATTTCTAATAATTTCAGCATGGTTCACATCTCAATTGAGACATTGTGATGAATGTTGATTGGATATTTTTGGAAAAGCAAGAATGGTTTGTGGCCAACCCACATAAACATCGCAGCCACGTAGAGAAATGTCCTCTTCCTTATTTTGAGAAACCTTTCACCCAACCCAAATTCAGGAGTCACTGACTTGTTCCAAGCCCGGCATCGATGTTCCTGATAAGAATGCTTTGACGAGTGTGAGAGCTAGTTTGGGTCTATGCAAAGGGACTTCATGCCCAGCTCCCCTCACTGAAACAAAGTTGAGTCCAGCATACTCCTGCGTCCATCCTCCAACCTGTTTGCCAGATTATTACTCACCATGGTTACTGTCAGAAGCTGGATAACAGTGCCCAGGACACTGCTATACATATATAGCTACCATAATGCTAGTTACTATGACAAAGAATCAAATCCGAATTTTTTTAAGGAATGACTAGTTAAAATTACCTATAGAAATGAAAGACTATGGAATATATAAGATGCAGTTCCTAAAGCGATTTACCTGTCCATCATCATACCAGGCACGCCAAGGCTTCACAGTTGGAAGCTTGAGAGCATCTATACTGTAGCGGGTGGATGTAACAGGGATTACAGCATCTGTGTCACCACTGTCGAATTGGTAGGATAGGGGGAAAAAAGAAAATGAAAAAGATCAGAAAAAATTGTCTGAAGTCACTTCAACCAAAAAAGGGCAAAACTGCATCGAGAATCTAAATTATATAAAAAGACATGAGTTGTGCATGTCTAAATTCCAAAAAATGTTCAGTGAGTGTTTGATACGTCAAATTGTAATGTAGTAGAACCTAAACATAAATCTAGCATTCGAAACAAAAGAGATAAATTATCTTCACAAGTATTGGTTTGCATCCTAACGATAATATTCTTTTACCATTTCAGTCTTTTAGACAGAAGGTATGCAAGTTCCAAACATTATAAATGATAAATCATGAACACAAAAACGCTAAATTAATCCACACAGCATATATTGCCAAGTATACCAGCATGAACACTGCTAGCAACCATCAGTCTTTCACCAGTGGTAATAGTTATATATATCCTACTATTATACTATCAAATCTTAATCACTCCTTTTATAATTTATCTCATGCATCCCAAATTGACATTATTACTGTATTCTGGAAAAGTTTGTCCATCAAGCTTTTTCATAGTATATTTATTTTTCATTCTATCTTCCTATAACTTCCGGCTGTGAGATTTACATAACAATTTTACAGGATCAATGGAAACGTTCTATTTGCTCAAAGTGTATCATCATGCATGAGTCACCAACTTATACAACTTACACTCCTTTCACTCCATGCAAAAGTAAAAATCAAAGGTTATAGTGCAGTAAACAGAATATACAAATGAAAAGGTGAAAAGAGGATAATATGTTGAAGGATAAAGCTAGGATGAGATTTAACAAAATAGAGGTTACTAATATCATATACAGAATAGTTTTTGTATTGATCCATTTCTTCAAACGCTAAAGCATTTACGATTGACCTCTTGCAACCTATGTTAGACACATGGTAGCTATATAGTAAAGCAACGTCACAGATTTAGTGATAAACCTGAATATCCATATGCGAAGTCCTATATGTATAAGCTCACGGTAAACATGCAGCATAGTTCTTGGAGAATCCTTCCAGTTGGTATTTACAATATCACTGCAAAAAAGAAAGAAAAGCAAAACCTTTTAATTAAGACATGCGTCTCCATGTGACTTCTAGAAAGTAAATGGGTAAACAGAAATGGTGTGAAATAAAAGATGGTTTGAATTTACACTTGGCGTGTAAAATAATTTAATGCTCAAACTTTGCTCTAAAAGAAGCAAACTAATAACAGTTTTCGTTATCAACATACTGGATATGTCTTCTGAACATATTAAAATAAGTTTCATACGGACACGGTTAGAGCTATAATATTTTGATGGGTGGTCTAGTTACTTTCAGTGAATGAAGGAATTCATATCTATGAAAATACACCACATACCTGCACGTCTCCCACTTAGATGGTGCAGCTTCTGGTAAAACATGAAGTGCCTTTTGAACCTCAGGTAGATTGAAGTATACTTCTGAGTGCTTCTCAGTGCAAGGATCATACTTCTCACTGAGCTGACCAACCCTCTGTGCATAATACCAAATTTCCGTAATGATTACACATAAAATATCAAATACTCTAGAATTCACTGTCAATTCTTTAAAAAAAAAGTCTAAAATTTTCATTTCTGGTTAATTCTGGGGACTGTTATGGCCAATGAATTCTGCAGTTGATGAACTTTACAATAGCTTAAGTGAGCCTCAGTTCTTAAGAGTATAAATACAGATGAAAATTATCAGGTTTCTGCAGCAACTGTTAGCACAAATATGAATATAATGAGTTTGAAGATGATATGTGATCACCATCATTGAAATTCCTAAGAATAAGGACAGAAAAGTTAGATATATATAGACGGCATAAAACCCACCAAAAAAAATTTAATGCTAAGAATTTAAAATTATAGACAATGCATATGTTCAACTGAATGCTGTTAAAACTTATGCCTGAAGTTGAATCAATTAGAAAATCTTTTGACTGATATTAAAGATCGGAGAAAAGATGCAGAAGAATTACTCACAAGCCTTCTTTTCAGAAGCCACTTTGACTGGCTAACATTAGCAGAGCAGGGAGGAGTGAAGATGCTATATGGGTCAATATTACCAAGTTCTTCACTTGCAACCTCCATAATCTTATAACAAGAACTTGAGGAGTGGACAAATGATTCAAAATCACATAGTACATTCAATCGCTTGTATGTTTTATCAGAAATCAAACCAGCTGACCACATAAATTGGAAGACCCCCAAATGATCGAGGTGATCATCAGTTACAGCATTTCCAACCTGCATTACATATAACCTCTATATATCAGTTTTCTCAAATGATGCAAAACTGATTCTGTTTCAAGAATAGAGTCTCTACCGTATAACCCTTTAGATTAATTGCTTTTTTCTTGGTTGCCCAGTTGTATCTTACAATGGCTTGACTTAGCTGTGGAACATAATGCCCTGCAATACATTCTTTAATGTAAAAAAACTACAACAACAACAAAAAAATTATAATGAATTTATTGTTAAAGAGCAATTTAAATATACAAAATATAAATACTGCAAAGTTCCAAAGTCATCTAAGGTATCGATGAATGTTACTTTTCTTATTTTCACAAATGTCTTTTGACTCCAAGCATACATCAGGCAGCATCAAAGTTATTTAACATACATCCCAAAATGAAATGAAACATTCTTTAGCAACCTGTTATTTCGTACATTTACAGTGGCCACCTAGGTAAGTGGAGGTCAGAACTTGTTTGCAGTTCTTTGACCCATGAAGATGAATATAACTCATATACCCCTTTGCAAGCAGCTTATTTTAATAGAAAGAAAATTGCAAAACCAAAACATTTATGATTTCAGCCCGTAGATGTTTTCAATGGTTCAGCTACGTGAATCTGTTTTCTCCAATCCACTCAGTTATACATTTTGAAGATAAAAAGTGGCAAAATAGTTTTCTATGATTTCAACACAGGTAGTTTTTAGTCTGCCTTCACCTCTTTTTATTCTTCCTACAGTGACCAAATCCCTCTTGAGCACAAAAGAGCATCCCGAGTTGGCAACAATCCTGCAATTGAAGACAGTTTCTTCTTTTTGCCCCTTCAACCCATCTTGCACTCCTTTACAGGTGTGTTCTATTTGTAATTTCCAGTGTGTCCAATGTATTTTAGATATTCAGAATTATCTTTCTTGCCTAGAAACCTGGCTTTTATTACCAATTTGTGTTTAT